ATGGGCATTTCATAGACTCATAGAATGGCTTGGATTGGAAGGGACCCCGAGGATCATCAAGTTCCAAACCCCCTGCCACAGCCCAACCACTAGATCAAGTACTAGATCAGATTGTCCAGGGCCCCATCCAACCTGGCCTTAAATATCTTCAGGGATGGAACTTCCACAGCCTCCCTGGGTAACCTGTTCCAGCACCTCACCACTTCCTCAGTAAAAAAAACCTTCTCCTACATCTAATCTAAATCTCCCCTCTTTAGTTTAAAGCTATTCTCCCTTGTCCTATCACAATCTGCCCTTGTAAAAGGCTGATTTCCTTCATGTTTATGAACTCCCTTAAATACTGGAAGGCCATAATGAGGTCTCCCTGCAGCCTTTTCTTTCCTGGTTCCTTCATCCTGTCTTCACAGAGGAGGTGCTCCAGCTCTCCGATCATTTTCATAGCCTTCTTCTGGACTGTCTCCAAAAGCTCCGCATCCTTCCTGTGTTGGGGGCTCCAGACCTGGATGCAGTACTCCAACTGAGGCCTCGCAAGGGCAGAGTAGAGGGGGACAGTCACCTTCCTGTCCCTGCTGGCCACCCCTCTTCTGATGGAGCCCAGGATACCACTGGCCTTCTGGGCTGCAAGCACAAACCGCTGGCACATGTTCAGTTTTTCATCAACCGGGCCCCTATGTCATTTTCAGCAGGACCGCTCCCAAGGACTTCTCTGTTTGTGTACATGACCCAGGAGCAAAACCTTGCACTTTGCTTTGTTGAACCTCATTAGGTGCACAAGGTCCCACCTTTTGAGTTTGTCAGGGTCCCTCTGGATGGCTTTCCTTCCTCTTGTTGTATCAACCACATTGCTCAGCTTGCTGTCATCAGAGGTGTGTTCCACTTTGCTCTGTAAGTCCCTTAAAATTTTGCCTCTGGAAGGCTTTCTTTATTGTGGGCTTTAACAACTGTTACGGCACTGATTGCTCCTTGAGGTTTCTCTCCAGCAAGAAAACCTGAATAAGACTGTGGCTTCTCCTTCTGTTTAGATTTGTAAAAGCATAATTATTGTGAATTGTTTTCCCCTTACTCTGAGTTGGTGCTTTGATGCAGCACCTGCTTTGAAGCTGAATGAGTGAATCCTTTTGTCATTCAGCATAGTGAAATCTCCCTGATGGCACTGCCCAAAATACACTGTGTTCTCTCAGAAGCCTCTTCAGCTTTCTTGTGGCACTTTTTGTTGTGAGTTACAAGAGCCTGGTGGGTTTGGCACTCCTTGCTGTGGGAGTTGCTGAGGCCAGAACTGGGGCTTCCTCTTGGGTAATGAAGAGACCTGATGAAAGCCCTATGTTGAGCACTGAGGCTCTGAAGTCTGCTAATTGAGGCAAGGCAAACACAGGGCATTAATTAGCTTTAAATTCAGAGTGTAAAAATGTCTTCAAAGTGAGCCTGAGCACAAAAAAAGATGTTTGCTCTTCAGTGCAGATGCCTTGAACGTTACTGACATTGGGTGAGCAAGCTCTGGAGAGTTAGAAGCTAGGAAGAACAATTACTTACTTCTCCCCTGGGACACAACCAAAGTATCAACACCCCTTGGTGTTTTTCCGCAGAGGCTCTTTGCCAGCCAGGTTTGCTAGAAAGAGCATTTCAAGCATTCTTCCTCAGCACATCTCCTTTTTTTCAGGAAAGTGCAGTGATTCTTTCCTTGACACCTCACCCAGTGCTCTTGGCAAAACTGTCAAATGCGTCATTGCAATGGGAGGCTCCTCATCTCAGCTGCAGCAGTAAGAACTGGCTGGGAAGTGTGGGCCAATCCTCAGAGGACCTGTTGCAGAGTATTCTCAGTGGAAATCCTTTGACTCTGGAGCTTTTTTGCTCTGGCAAGCTCCCTTCGCCTGTTTGGATGCAATGAGAGTTCAAGACACATAGCTTTTGTTTGGTTATCCTGGAGGGAACTCTGCTTTTCATTTAGCTGAAATTCTGGGTGGTAGAGAGGAGAGTGCTTCAGGCTGCACTGGTGTTTGCCTTGTGTGAGGGTGCCTTTTGGTAGCCCTATGACTTCTGAGCTGGGTGTTCACACCACAGGAGTGGTATAGACAAGCAGAGGTTTAGGTACTTGAGGGAAATGTAACATTTCCCCACTCTCTATTTGTAGATGGGAATCAGATATTCTTACTTGTATTTTCACCCCAGTTTCCTCCCAGTGGTTTCCAGTGCTTTTTCCTTCACCAATACTCATCTATTTTGTGCTTCTCCTCTCTGGATCTTCTGCCACAGTGTCACATGGCCTTTACTCACCTCAAGAACTTCCAGGCTGTTAGGAAAGAAAAGTAGTTGGAAGGTTGATTGCTGTACAGGAAACCACAGAAGTCCTTACAGGAAGAATTATGTGAGTGCAAGGAAAATAACCACAAGAAAATGTGCAGTCTGGAACACTATAAAAATGGTGATGGGGAGGACAGCTTTGACTGATAGAAAGTTTGATTATTTGTATAATATTCCTGCATGAAGTGGTGCTTGTAGAAGGCTACTTGTAGAATAGCCCTGAGAAGACAATACACAATGTTTCTTTATTCATGGATCTGAGAGAGACCTTGGTTTTTGAAAATGCTTTTAAATGATGGCATATGAAGAGTGAGAAAATGCACAAACCAGAATACAGTGTAGCATCAACTCTGATGACTTTTTCAAAATCAAATGTGTCATATTCTAGATTATTTCAGTATGTCTTATAGGATGTGATACAAGTAAAACATGTACTCAGCATAGAAAGCACAACAAAGTGATCTGATATGTTAACACAATCTCACCAGCCTGGCATGTTGGAACAAACAAGGAAGAAGTATGATTTCAGGAACATCACAAGAAAATTCATAGAATGGCTTGGTTTGAAAGTAGCCTTAAGGACCAGCATGTGACAGATAAGAAAACAGGAAGACAACCTTGCACTTGGCCTTGTTGAACCTCATCAAGTCTATGTGGACCTACTTCTCAAACTCCCAGTCCCTTTGCATGCCTGCCTTCTGTTGTATCAGCTGCATCATTCTGTTGAATAGTCCAGCCTTCAAAACCATTTCTTTCCAGTTTAGAGACAAAATGTGATGCGGGACCATGTCATAGGCCTTGTACAAGTCCAGGTAGACAACATCAGTTGCTTCACATGACAGCCATGACTTTGCAGATAGGGAGAGCAGTTTGGCAACCACATCAGCCAGTTCCTTCGGGACTCTGGGATGCATGTCATCCAGCTCCATAGACTTGTACACATTCAGCCTCATAAGGTGGTCTCAGACTTGCTCTTCTCTTGCAGAAGGAGGTGCTCTGCTCCCCAACTCCCACCCAAAGCTTTAGGGTTGGAAGAGAACTGGGAAGCCTAAGAGATATTGAAGACTGAAGCAAAGAACTTGAGTACTTCAACTTTCTCCATGTCTGCTGTAGTCAGCTCTTCCTTTTCATTTACTGGAGACCACTAAACCACTGAAGATTTGCTGTCCCATGAAGGCTGCTCTTCAAAACTGAGGAGTAGCAGGAGTTCTAGAATCTGAGATACTTATTTTCTTTCAAACTCCTTAAGTTTCTGGAGAAAAACTTCAGGGGACCATCAACCCTGAACACTGAAGACCTTTTGAAATAGCAGGGGATCTTTCACTGACTTAGTTTCACTTCTAGCACCACTCCTTCTATCAAAAAATCAGATAACTGTGTGCAGTAATTATCCCTTCCTCTACGTAATAGCTGGGTGATTTCTAACAAACTCACAAGCTGCTGTAAATACAATCATGTTTCCCTGAGCTTCACTATGGTTTTATTGGCAATTTGGATTAAAATCACAGTTCCTTCTGAACCAAGTGGGTTATCCCAGTGTGCTAATGCTTCATCAAAAAAAAAAAACAAAAACAAACAAACCAGAAATAATAGAAGAGTAGAAAGAGATTAAATGACACCCAAGAAAGGTGTGAAGGTGCATCATGCATTTTGTAAAAGTGACTTAGGGAAAAGATAAGCAGCCATAATAGCGTAAAGGGAAGTCAAGTCATTAAAAGGGATTGCAGGTTGTGTGGTATAAATGCCTATAATCAGGCTTTGAAAGTGTGCTGAATACAACTCTCCTGACAGAAAGGAATCTATGGGCATGTTTTCAAATAGGTTGTGGTTTGCTTAAGTCTTCCCATGAATATGTATCTGGGAAGTTGTGTTAGGTGTCTCCATGCCACTGTAATTGTTTTCTCCTCTTGCCATGCCTCTTTGGTCAGATCTTCTGGACATGATGTCTCTTGGAAAGGCTGGGATTCCCAGTTTGGCCACACACAAGCACCAAGAAAACTGTGGATGCTATGGTATCCCCATGCCAAGCAGTGAGAGGTGGCCTTAACTGGTCAAGGTTTATCTTCCCAAGGCATTTTTAATTGCTCTAATTATCTGTGATCTCTCCTGGATGAGGATCGTAACCTTTGACATGCTCCAGTATCCTGGCTCAATTCAAACTGGAGTAACTGCACTCTCCCTTTTTTTGCAAGCTCACTTGGTAGAAGTGTATTCCTCTTCAGGAGCTTATTATTTACTTCAAATCTTAAATTGATGCCTCATGTATTAAAGCAGCTGCAGAATTTCATCTTATTGGAAAAAGAATGATTTCTGTGCATAAAATCCACCATAACGATTCCAATTTGCAAAGGGAATGAGTGTTACTCATTCCAACAGCAGCATATGTGTACAGCATCTATTATCCAGGAACCTCATGAAGCTCAACAAGAGCAAAGTTCCTGCAGAGGAACAACCCTCTGTGTAACAGTACAGGCTGCAGGCCAACCAGCTGGAAAGCAGCTTGCCAGGAAAGGACCTGAGATCCTGATGAACACCAAGTTGAGCAGGAGCCAGCAATGAGCCCTTGGAGCAAAGAAGGCTAACAGTGTCCTAGGCTGCATTAGGAGGAGTGTTGCCAGCAGGTCAAAAAGGAAGATCCTTCTCTTGTACTCAGTGCTGGTGAGGCCACAGCTTGTCTGCTGCGTCTATTTCTGGGAGGCATGGATGTATTGGAAAAAGAGTTCAGTGAAAGTGGGAACAAAGATGACAAAGAAACTGGAGCACCTCTTCCATGAGGAGAGGCAGTGAGAGCTGGGACTGTTCAGCCTGCAAAAGAGAAGGCTTTTCATCAATATATACAAAATACCTGAAGAGTGCAAAGAATAGAGAGCCAGGCTGTTTTTAATGGCTCTTTTTTTTCTATCAAGCGTGACAGAACACTAATACAGGCTGTTGATCTCCTTGGAGATCTCCCAAAGCCACTCGAACATGGGCCCAGGCAGCTGCTGTGGGTGGCCCTGATGCAGCCAGGGCTGGGCTTGATGAACCCTGAGCCAGCCTCGGTAGTTTTGTGATTTAGGATAAATTCTGTTTCTTAATATTTTTCTGATGTACTTTGAAACAAAACCATGTGAAGAATGTATGTGGACCTATCTAAGAGTGCAGTTTGACACAGAATTTTTTTGCCTCTCCAGGTAAGATTTGCCAAATATACTTTTCAGTCTTGACTCAAAGGTCTTCAATAGCATCAGAGCAACAAGAATACAAGCCAAATACCTAAGTGTGGAAGTTTGGCTGGCCTCTTCATCGTGCACAGTATAGCAGAGACTGCAATAGTCTATTCAGCCTTTGATAGAAGAATGAGTCCTGTGGTCTGTCCATTATCTTCATCGCCTCTGCCTGAGCGTGTATGATTGTTCTTGGTGGTTGTAATGCTATAATAGGATGGAAAGTATCATGATAATAGCAGGGTAGAAAAGTCTTTGGCTACAGTAAATGAGAATAAGCCCAAATACAGCAGCTGCAGAAATGAAGGAAAAGAGCTGCTTACCTTTGGAAAGCCTCAAGTAGGCAGGGATCTCCAACAACAGATACCCTCATCTCCCATGCCAACCCTTAAATGAGGCCTGGGCAGGGGTGAATCCTGGCTCCACCCCTTCCAGTCACTCAGGTGCACTGCGTGCACCTGAGCTCCCGAGTTGGCCCTGCCTTCCCACCAGATGCTCAAGCACTGTTTCAGGCCATGGCTTAGCATTTCCACTGCAGTGGCTTATTCAGTCACCTAAGTGTTTATTAATACTGTACAAGACTGCTGGCTTTGATGTACTGGCCTTCCTCCTATTTATAGCCCCTCTTGGCTGTGCATGGATCCTTGTTTATATGGCCACCATCTCTGATCTCAAGAGCAGAAGTTCTGTGAGGATATTCCATATAGACCCAATGCATCTTGTAGTCTCTGTAATTTTGCAGGCAAAAACAAGAAGGCAGCTGAATCACAGACCCTTGAAGACCACCAGAGCTGTTCCAGCCCTCTTTGGGTAAGGCTTGAAGGGAGTCATCTGAGACTTTACTACCTGTTTGTATACCACCAAAGCAAGGAAAATACCTTTGTTCTCAGCTTGGATGCAGTGAAGGCAAATGCTTTCTGGTTTCGTCATTCTTTCCCAAAGTAAAATGCTTTCAGAACTCCACTGGACAGATGGAGCTCTGCACACATGGTTTTCCATGAATATTGCATTAATCCATATTCTGTGTTATAAATTACAATCAATCCATTCTTGTGCTAACCAAGCTGCAGCTGCTCCCAGATGAAAAGCCTTTTGAACTCTGCCAGACGAAATATTCCGAGTCTCATTCCAAGGTGCATGTCATTGTGGTTCTCAGGCTCTCATATGTGCTTAATTTAGAATATTTATCAAAGTGTACATTCTGCTGATGGCCAAGTGGGTGCCAGTGCTTACAGTGATGTTGTTTGCAAACTAACAAAAAGCTGAAGTTGTTTCAGGAAGTGGTAATATATTGATTTCAGCTTCAGTACAGCTAATCTGTAATCTAATTTGCAGTAAATCTTTCAAAACCCAGTGAATTCACTGTGTGATAAATTAAAAGAAAAGTATCAGCTGTGAAGTTTCAGGATGGATCTGGACTTCCTCAGGTTTTGTGGTCTCCAGATCCAGGACATGCCTTTTTTTCTGTTGTGAAGACAGGAACTATTTGTAAGTGTGGGCACAAGAACTGAGATGCAAGCTTTCTTCTGGTTCTCATGTAGTCTGATTGTGCCTTGGCTTGTTAGAAGAAAAGAGCAGCCTTGCCCTTTAGGTGTATATTTCACAGAATGGAGGAAGTTTATAGCAGTTGTTTGAATCGGATATCTGACTTTTATTTTTTACTTTCTTTTTCTATCTTAATATTGGTGTTGTGGATTATGTTCAAATTCTGTAAACTAATAAACAAACACACTGATGACATAATGTGGGAATTCACTTCAGTGAATGTGCAGTGTTATGTGATTCATACTGAATCTGCCTTCCTGTTGACTGAAACAGAAATGTATGATTTGTTCACTCTGTGAGTTAAGGACCTTCACATTTAGTGCTAAGGGCTGAGTACCATGAGCACCCTACCTTTCCAGTTTCAGGCCACTCCCTGGAATTGTCTGAACTCTAAATTATTCTGTAAAGAAGTTATTAATATCTTAACTACAGTTGCTTGGTAGTGAAGTTGTTCAGATTGTACCAGATTTGAAAACTATTAAGCTTCAGTTATGTCTTGCCAGTAGCTCTTATTTCTCAAAAAATGGGACTGTAGAATAGTTTTCTTCTTTTTAAGGGAATGTGTGTATTTTAAAAGGAGCAAGTTGGGGATTTATAATGGATCGAAACCCAAATATTTTCTCTCCCTTTCCTCCTTGTCTTGAAATTGCTGTGTCGGCAGAATTTTTGGGATGCGTGCATGAATACATAAAATTCATCCAAAAATTTGCAAATTGGAAATTTCCTGACCAAATCCTTACACAGTGTTTTTTTCTGGGAGGTATCATTGCCCGTTATTAGCCACTGAAACACTGGGGGGCAAACTGGAACATTGAAACAGGCTGCCCAGGGAGGTTGTGGAGTCTCCTTCTCTGGAGATGTTCAAGACCTGCCTGGATGCCTACCTGTGCGACCTGGTGTAGGGAACTGCTTTGGCAGGGGGTTGGACTCGATGATCTCTGGAGGTCCCTTCCAACCCCTACAATTCTGTGATTCTGTGATTCTGTGAAATGCTGAGCAGTTCCCATGGCTGCTCCATGTTGGTTGTCCTCCTCCTCCTCTCCCTTGAATGGAAGGAAAATGGGTGAGGATTGTGGTGATGGAGGAGCCTGGTGCTTATAAAAAAAATAAGTGCAAGATGCCCTGCCTGTTTCACTGCTTGAATTCCTGCAGCTGCTCCCAAGAAGGACATAGTCCGTTTGATCTGAAATGCTGAGACAACTAGCGTTTTATATTCACACATCATCTAGGCCATTGTTTTTATTACTCACAAGGGATAATTGCATCCAGAAATTTCCAAATGAAATGTTATATTGGGCAAAACAACATCTCACTGACATTTCAATTATATGAGTTATTTTCTAGCATAGATCAGCAATAAACTCCCCTGAAGAGTGAATTAAATAGGAAGCAAGAAAGCAGAGATGGGGCAGTTGCCAAGCGTCAGTATGTCTAGCACCTGCATTTCTGTCCATGCCCTCACTCCTCTTGCCTTTATGCCTACTGCAGTCAGCCAGTGAAATGCAGTGGTGCCCATAGGCAGCAGGCACGCGCGGAGGAGGGCTCTTTCTGCAGGTGCGAGCTACCTGGGACTGCGGTCTCGAACGCGGGAGTCCCTGGTTTCTGCCTTGGTGAAGTCTACCAGGCGAAGCTGATGAGGTCGGAGTGGAAACACGGTCATCCTGGCTTTCAAAGGATTTTGGTCAGCGCTTGGGAGAGCACGCAAACGGCCGTTAAGCGCCTCTCCGGTGGCAGGCTCTGGGCAACAGCCCGCAGCTGAGCTGGGGCGCCCATGCTCCTGCAAACCCAAAGCCGTACCACCAGAGGGAGCAGGAAGGAGCTGCCTCGCACAGATGGAGCAAACGCTGTTTTTCCATTGTTGCCTTAGCCCACGTGCCAAACAAGCGGAAGTCCTAGCATAGATTTCCCTTATCCTACCATAAAAATGCTTTTATTGGTAATAGCTTATTTCACGCACTGAACTTACATTTTATTCTGGGAAAAGAAACAACCCACTAAGAGAATTTTCTGAGAGTCATTTTGGAAAAAATAGGCCTCCAAGCACTTCCTAATGCACAGTCAGGCTGAAATAAAGGTCCCAGTTGACCATTCCCCATGAAGTCCTTGCTGGGATTTTCACATCTCAGTATGTAGAGTTCCATCTGTACTCTTTGATAAAGATCAGGAACAAACTCTTCTAAAGGGTTTGTTCAACAGCAGGCAAGAGAACCAGGGCTGTATTAAGTACAGGCAAACTGATTAACTTCTAGGTCCACTTCCACTTTCCCTGTGCTTCGTCTCAAATTAGCCTCTGATATCTCAGTGTGAGATTAATCCAGTGTGATGAAGTTGAAGTGGTAATGGTTCTTTTTGATAGCACAATGTTTTCTCTATGACTGTTGTAGACAATAAAGACAGAATGCCAAGCTGCTTATAGGAAACAGATTTTTCTGGTTCCTAAACAAATGCCCTGTTCATGTATGGATACAGAAAGAACAAATTAACTGCTCTAAGATAAATTAAAGTTTTTTAATCAAGATGTATCTATATGTTTTTGATCTAAAATATTATTTTAGAGGCCCAAACCTTAATTTCCATGCTTGCAGCTGCAGGCTGGACACAGCCACTCAGTGCTGCCAACCTGGTTGCCACCTGCAGTGCCCAGGTAAGGCGTTCCCTTGTGGCACTTGGTCCTGCAGGTGGTTTTGGGCATGTGGCTGGTTTTTTGTCCTGTTTGGCTATAAATTCCTGCCTGAAGCAGAAGCTAGTGCTTCACATGCCTCAGGTACACTCAGATAGCACCAGCAGTGTAACTTAAAGAAGGGCTTGGGATGCTTCTGCATAGTAGTAGACTCTCCACCTGGTTCACAGGGGCTCGGTGTGAACTAACTACTTCATCCCTGCTGGATGTTCACAGCCATATGTAAACAGGGGCTGATGAAGTTTACATTAACAGTTGTTGATTGCTGCATGATCAGCACCATGTCCTGTAACCACACCAGCATATTGCTGGAAGTTTTGGACAAATCTGTTACTAGCATCAATGACTGTGCTCAGTAAATCCGGAGCTTTGGGCTAAGCAAGAGCTGTGCGTGTGTTACGTACTGTACAGCTGCCCTCTGTGGCTGCAGGGAGCTGTGAGGAGATGGGTCTGCAGAAATGGACATCTCCTTACCAGCAGCAAATGCTCATATATCACAGTTTAAGAGAGCAAGTAAGCCACCCCTAGATCCCTTGCTAGGTTTTTTCAGCTACAGTCTTGATGGTATAAACCACGCACCAAGCAACGTATGGAAGAGAGACCTGGAACACCGGGGTCTGTGCTTTGTAATTATTCCTATAATTAATACTCATCATCACTTGAGTATTACTGTCTGAGGCTTTTCCCCCTAGGCCCATGAATTTCTTTAAACCACTGAGCACATTTGTGTCTTGTTTAATGTTCTTGGCTCTACAAACAACTGTGGTGTGGCTAACTGAAGTACAGTCACTGTTGCTCTGATGTTACAGCATCGGTGATTAGAAAGGATTTGTTCCTGAACACCTTCATAAATAGAAGAATGAATATACCTGATATCTTTTATTCTAACCAAGAAAAAATCGTTCTAGCTTAGCATCTGATCAGAAAAATAAACAACTAAAACAGACCAAGATTTATCAAGGGCAGGGAAAAAGGGAAAAAAAATCCCTTCTTTTTTTTTAGTGAACTGCAGTATCAAACCTCTGAGCCTTAGATAAAACATTTAGGAAAGAAATAGCCACTATAACTAATGTGCTATTAGTTCTGCACTAATGTTACTAATTAGGCTGTCAGTTCAATGTGAAAAA